TCACAAAAACAACCCTGAGTGTGTGTATGTGTGTGTGTGTGTGTGTGAGTGTGTGTGTGTGTGTGTGCATGTGTGTGTGGGTATTTGTGTGTGTGTACATGTGTGTGTGTGTGTGTGTGTGTGTGTGTGTGTTATAATGTGCAGCTCATCCACTGGAAAACAGCCTTACAGGGACATTAAACAGGCTGAATAATTACTCAGTTAATTGTAAATCTTTTTTCCGTTACAACTTCAAATTATTTTTTTCTCATCAACAAACTGGAACACAAGATGCTGATGCAACATATTATAGAAATGGCACACTCCTGCAAATAAAAGAGGAATAAAACTGATCCATCATGTTTCGAGAGGGAAAAAGAGAAATATGAACACTAGCTTCACTGAGCAGCGACACACTTTAGCTCTTTATGAACATCCAAAGTTATAGTTGATGAATCTGAAGCTCAAGCAGAGAAGATTTCTCTTGTATAGAAATACTTTCTTAAAATGACAACAGGAGCATATGAATTGTTCACTGTTTCCATCTCAAAACTGCACTGCTGTTTGAAATTATAGCTACTTATAGTTATTATAATTTTAAAAAAGAAAGAAAATTGTTACTTGAAATAAAATTAACATTAAATGAAATAAAGCATTTGAAATTTTAGTTTGACTTGATGTACTGAAATAACTAAAACTAAAACTGAAACAAAAAATTATAAAAATAGACATATTTACAAAAATTTACCAAAATAAAAATGACAAATTTAACAAAAACTCAAAAAGGAAAATTAAAAAATATTTTTTTCAAAATAAAATCTTTTTCAAAATATCAATAATAAAAGTATCTTAATGACACTAAAACAACACTGACACATGCCTGAAAGATACCAAACGCAATCACAAGACACCAAATATATTTTATTTATACATTTTATTTTATTTATAGGCCTAGACTTATTTTATTTCAGCTAGTTGCCGTTTAACCAAAACTAAAACTGAAATAAAAATTAAAAACTACAGAGACATATTTACAAAAACAAAACTAATAAACAAAAACAAAAACAAATAAAATTAACAAAAACTCGCAACAAAACTTTAAGTAAAATGTATATAAAAACAAAAAATATAAAAAATGAAAACTAATTTAAAATATTAATAAAGTCTATAATATAATCTCAATGACACTAAAATAACATTGACACATTCCTGACATGAATCACAAACTTCCCAGAACTAAAAGCATAAAAAATTGTAACTTGAAATAAAATTATATATATATACACTAATAAAATGCAAAATCTCACTACAAAATTAGTAAAATTTTAACTAAAGTAAAAATAAAAGAAAAACATATAGATGAAAACTAATTCAAAATATGAACAAAATCTCAGTGACACAAGAAAAAATGCCTTCCAAAAATGCAGCAGGCCTGAAAGCAAATGAATGATTAATTACCGGCATTCATCAGCGAGACGCCGCCAGAGTGACAGAATCCACCTGTACCTATTCCTCTCTGAAATGAAATTAGACAAATCAAATTGTACATTTACATATAAATCAGCGGCCGGCTGTCGCGGGTCTGTCTTGCCTGTTGCTTTCTTTCAGAGAGATTGTGATGTTGGCAGCACCGCAACATTTCCAGTTTGTTATAAATAGTCTCCATAAATCTGGGGTGATCAGAACTGGCAGTGTGTGTGTGTGTGTGTGAGAGAGAGAGAGTGTGTGTGTGTGTGAGTGAGTGAGTGAGTGAGTGAGTGTGTGTGTGTGTGTGTGTATATATGTGTGTGAGTGTATGAGTGAGTGTGTTTGTGAGAGAGAGAGTGTGTGTGAGTGTGTGTGTGTGTGTTTGAGTGTATGAGTGAGTGTTTGTGTGTGTGTGTGTGTGTGTGTGTGTGTGTGTGTGTGTGCAGGACCAGAAGGAACACCTATTATACTAATCCCCGTACTAATTATTATCGAAACAATTAGCAATTTCATTTTCTAACTATAATCTAACATATCATTTTATATATTTATGACCTGGACATGTTCCTGACAGGTCTCAGATTCTTCCATAATTCATTTCTATACTTTTAAGGAATCGTCATAACTCATTTTGTCTGTCATATTGTTCAACAAACGTTGAGCTTCTTTTGATTGCACTAATCATCAACATCATCATCATCTTCAAATTCAGTTTTAAATCATTGTACATCAAAAGTCAAACGCAAAGCTTTACAAAAGATATGGATTTGCTCTGGTCTCAGACATTACTTGTGAATGAAATGCATTTATAATGGAAAAGAAGTTTCCAAACTTGTGGTTTTCAGTGGTTTTTATACTTTATGGTTCCTGCATCTAACAGTGGGTTTAATGTTCTGAAGGACACCGTTTCTGTTCCACACATGCATTAACGGTCTGTACAAAACCTCCTCCATCTGAAGGCCAGCGAGTGTTAATGAAACAGACTCGTGTGTCACTGCGAGTCTTGATGCAGATCCAGACGCCGAATACCTGCAACCTTGAGCACAGACCTCAGCTGAAGCCGCCAAACAGCATTAAACAGCATTTCAGAAACACACACAGACTCGCTGGAATGCAGATGAAATATTGATACGTAAAAATCCTGCATCTCTCCCCGAGTGTCTCCTCCTGATTAATTATTTCTAGCAGCATCAAGGTCTGTTCCTGTTCCTGAGCGCATTTCACTGACCGCTGTTGATGTGTTTGGGATCATAGAAGATCTTTAACATTTTTCATGGAGCTGGAGAAATGTCTATTAAAAAGGAAGAAAAAAAAGTCTTATGTACACAACATGTATACAAACTGTCCTTGGCGAGTCAAATAAAATTAATTAAAATAAAACATTTAATAAAAAATTAATTTCATTAACTCAAATCAAAATGTAAAAAAAATACTGATAAAATTTGTATTCATTTCTATTTATTAATGAAGGAATATAACTGATTATTATATTGAAATTTCTACAATTATATACAAATTATTTTG